GGAATAAATTTATGAGAAAGCCAAAGACACACGGGTCTGGATTTGTTTGCACTATCTAAAAGTACAAGTTGGTCCCTCTTTCTTGACTTGTTGTGGGGCCTGCAAGCCTCGTACAAAAAAAAAAAGCCAATTTAATGACTGAAGGTTGGGCTAGAGAGAGAGAGAGAGAGGAGAGAGAGATTTGTTGTTTTCATGAACTTAAAGAGAGAGAGAGAGAGGAGAGAGTAGTATTGTCTTGTTTACTATAGAACGTAAAGAGAGAGAGAGAGAGGAGAGAGAGATTTGCTGTTTTGATGAACTTAGAGAGAGAGACCTGCTTTCATGAACTTTCTACCCAATAACCAGTATTTCGTTTCTTGACTAATGTTCCATTATGAATAAAAATAAGTAAAGTATTTTGATAGAATTGCAGTCCTATCAAAATCAGTAAAGCAAATTCATCGAGGATTGCAGTTTTGTTAATAGAAACATTTATTATCTCGATCTTGACCAATATAGTTGTAAAAACAAAATAAAATTTTAAAATCTAAAAATGGTGTATATATTATAATACATTATCTAGACCGTGCATTTTCCTTATAAATAAGTGTTCATGGATCCGTAAGATTGGTATATTTTTTTGGCTTAAACTTTCGTAGTCGATGTTGAAAATTGATTTTAGAGCTATCGTGGAGATTTTGATATCCTGAGTGCTTTCTAGACAAGGATTTGAATGAGGTTTTATTTTATTTTCATAGAGCCTAGGCCTTATAGAAATTACATCATAAAAATAATGGGGAAAATTTTATATAGAGTGTGAATCGTTGATCCAAAAAGTAAAGTGCACTTCAAAAACCCCTCAAAGAAAGAAAAAAGAAAACAAGATTGTTTTGACACTGCAAAACTCTCCAATTGATCGTTTTAATCTCTAGATGTATGGATTAAAAAAAAAAAAAAAGCTTTCAGGTTCTAAAAGTAGCACATTTTGTGATGCATTATCGGAGTCATAGATTTTCAAGTGTCGATAGATCTACTCAATTTGCACTATTTTTAGTGCTTTGGATTTTATGATTAGATATGGGAACTAATTTTTGGCCATCACAAGAGTTTCTAGCACTAAAAGTATAGCTTTTGACAAAATTTGGAGGCATGCCTTACTTGAATTACTTAAAGTTGACACCTTATACAAATCACACCCACAAATAACAAATAAAGGAAATAGATTGTATGAGTCCCACGATTCATATGTAGATACGAGTTCCCTCTCCTAGATCTTATTTTTTATAAACTCTGGACATCATTTTGGACTTCATTTTTTAAGTATATATAATCTCTAACATGGAGATTATTCATTATCGTCCAAGCCTTATTCCAACTATATGAAGTCGGCTATACAAATTTTGTTCTATCATTCTACTTTGTCGAAGACTATACTTTTAGTTAGACTATAAGTCAACATCTCTCATCTCACTACTTCTATTTATGTTCTTTTGGGTTTTTTAGGTTTTAATAATATAAAAATACATAATTTTTTAACACAATAAGTTTTTTAATAAAAATTTTGGATAGTTAGTTTTAATCTTTTTTGGAGGGATTTACCATTCTGCTTCCATCTTTAAGATGGATGTGTGATGCCACGGGAGATTAAAGGTAATTATGCGTCCCCAACGCATAAAGTAGTCTTTCATAAATAAAAGGAGAATTTGCCAAAAATACACTTGAGATATTAATTATTTAATGTGTTTCTTATGTTTTTTTATTTAATTTAAAAAAAATCTTTGAAAATGCATATGACCACGAGTTCATATAGCTGAAAATACACAAAATGTTAAAAATTGATAAATTAGGTACTTTGATAAAAAATTTAAACAAAATCAAAACCATGCATTCTTATTAAAATCCTTAGGCAGTTTAGCATATTATACCGGATCAGATTTTGGCATTTACTCGAAACTTATAAGTTATTCTTGTAGTTTGCACTATTTTCATAAAAAAAAACCACGACCTTTTGGGTTTGTTTGGCAACTAGAAATTTGGACGTCAGAAGTTGAAATTTCAAATTTCTATATCGCTATAGCAGTTCTTGGTTTGACATCTACGAATGCTATAGTGAAAGTGGGGCATTGGCAGTCCACAATTCTTGAATATGAGAAACGAAGACTTCCAGCCTCTAATCAAGCGGCAAATATCTCAAAAAATGAGAAACACGAATTTGTCATTTGCTCTCAACCTTTTCTATTCGCTCAATTGTAGTTTATTTTTCAAATTTAAATTGAAACGAAAATTCCAAAGTGCCCCCAAAGGTTTAAGTGTATTTTGATTAGTTTATTTTATGAATTACTTTTTATACTTTTTAGAGGTTATTTGAGGGTGATACGTATCATCATCACCATCATCAGTGTTTTTTTCAAAGATTTGGGGTGGGCCACACAAATCCTGCTTTGCTATTCTGGTCTATTAAGGCCATACACTCAGTGAAGCCATAAGTCCCCATGTCTTTTCACACTACTTGCAACCATGTCATTTTTTAGCCTACTTCTTGTCTTTTAAGCTTTCTTTTTGAACCAACTCGCACCTCCTAATATGTATTATACTAGGTTTGCATTGCACATGCCCAGCCGCCAAAGTCTAATTTCTCTCATCTTATCTCTTATTGGAGCCGCACTTAAGTTCTCTCAAATATTTTCATTTTAAATTATATCATTGTCTTGCCACTCATCTATCTCAACATCCTCATATCAGCTACATTGATCCTATGGGTATGTTGTGCTTTCATCGCCTAATATTCTATCCCATAAAGCAAAATTGATTTTACAGTTATCCTATATAACTTCTCCTTAACTTCATTAGTATGTAGTGATCACGTAAAACTCTAGTTGGACATCTCCACTACGTTCACTTAAGTCTAATTCTAGGTGTGATATCTTCTTCAATTTTTCTATATTATCGACCCAAGATATCGAGAGTGCAATATTTTTGGTAGGCTTTCAATCTTAATTACTTCCTCGTGTCTATCCCTATTATTAAAACTTGCATTCTGTATACTCTATCTTAGTTCGGCTAATTTTAAAACCTTTAAATTCTAGAATATCTCTTCGAAGTTTAACTTTGTGTTGATGCCATTTTGGGCTCCATCGATCAAAACTATATCGTCCACGAACAACATAACGGTATTTTATATTGTAGGTTCTTATGTAAGTCGTCTATAACTAAGACAATGAGGTGTGGACTCAACGCTGACCCCTGATGTAGATCTATCGTCATTGAAAACTCATTTGTCTCTCCGCCAGTTGTTCGCATACTAGTTAGTGTTCCATTGTATGTCTCTCTCACCAAATCGGAATAGTATCCATAGACTCATTTCTTTTCCAACATCACCAAATTAAATCTCGAGGTACTGTATCATAAGATTTATCTAGATCAATAAAGACCATGTTGAGGTTTTTTCCTTTCGGCCTAATCTTCTTAATCAGTTACCTAAGTAGGAAAATAGCTGCAATTGTTGACCTCCTCGGCATAAAAGTGAATTTATTATCTGATACACTCGTTTTATGTTTTAATTGTTATCTTCCACAACTTTATAGTGTGGCTCATAAGTTTAATCTCTCAATAGTTCACACAATTATGTATGACTCATTTGTTTTTGTATGTCTCGGTTCTTCGCACAATTTTGTATGACTCATTTGTTTTTGTATGTCTCAGTTCTTCGCACAATTTTGAAGGTGATACATATAAAAGTCTAAAATGTCAGATCAATTTGATGTACAAAATAAAATAAAATTGAAGTACTCATGGTGCTCTCAACCATCTGATCACGATAAAGATTGATAGTATTTTACTGGTGAACTATAGCATTTTTATGTCATCTATAACGTCCATTTTTTTACACCTACCATGGAAAAGTAATGATTTCGTAAAGTGATCCATTTACCATATACAATGAGACCATTTATTTTTTATACAATAAGGTCACAATCATTAATGCCCGTAGGACGTGAAATCGGGCAGTTAAAAATGTGTCATTGATTAGGCATAAGTTCAAAATAAAATTTCAAGCATTGTGACACACTTCAATCTATTAAATTTCATATCCACTGGTTAAGAATCATTGCGATTAATTTGTACCAAAAGTAAATGATCTAATAGAACACAATCCCTTAACAATATCACAATCTCATTAATGAAAACTTCAATGAACATTTAAAACTAACTAATTTTCAGATCTTCAGTTTTAACAAATCCTAGATAAAAAATCCTAGATTAAGTCAAATTTAGTTTTCCAAAATCCTCATAATTCTATACACATTAATTATACACAGTGCTTTTCAAACGTAGTACTAAAAATTATAACATTCAAACTCAAGAATTGAGAACTCCCGGTTCTAATTTGAGCTTCCAATTGTCGAGGGGTCCCTCAATAATTTTGGCCATTTTCGTCCCTTCTCAATGAGAAAAAGAACAAAAAAAAAGAAAAAAAGAGGAAGAGTTGGAGGGTACCGCCAACGCTTGAAAGATCCATATTGGAACCAAATTGGTTCCTTCGCAAAATCAAGAATTGATTAGAACGCGGCCCGATTTTGTTACAGAATCTTGATCACGGAACTAGGCAATCCAGATTGATAAAATTGCCAAGCACTCACCTAATTATTATTTAGTATTTTACTATTATTTAGTATTCTATTTTTATTTCAAGACCAATTCCGAACCAGTCCGTCTAATCCAGAAGGAGACAGTAATCCGGATTGATCCAATCGGTGACCAGATCAGAGTTTTAAAACAGCATCGGGTTACTCAAGTGTCATTTTAGAAAGAACAAGTGCCCTTTTTCGTCAATATGTAAAGTGAAAAGCGCAAAAAGAGTTTCCCGGTTACATATGGGCGAAGGAGGAAAGAATCGGAAGAAAGTGGTGCCCTACCCTACTTCGAGGCGCCCCGCCCTCGCCAAATGTCTCCCTCTTTCTCTCTCTAAAATCCCCTTCTCTCTCTAAAACCCCGCCCCCCCCCTCTATTCCCCATTTCTTTCTCCCATTTCTCTCTCTAAAACCCCCTCTCTCTCTCTCTCTAAAACCTCGAAATGCCTTTTTTCTCCTTCTCCTCGAGTTCTCTATAGGTACCCATCTTTGTCGTGTGAAGGTCAGCTTCCCCACTTCCTCCTCTCTCTAAACCCCTCTTTCTGGTAATTTGTAGTCTTTTTGCTCTCAATTAATGATCCGTTGTTTTATTGTAGTTTTTTTACTTGTTTGGCCTTTACTGTGAATAGTTGAAAGTTGAAAATTTTGGGGAAAATCACTTTCTCATTTTATTGTTCTGGTGCCCCGAATTCTCTACCTTGAGCAGTTATTAGAAATGGGTTTCTAAATTTTAACTGGAGTTTTTTAGATTAATGGGAAACGATATGACTGTGTTTGAGATGATGGAAGCTCGCATGACTTGAGTTGGTTGGTTTTTTATTTGATTTACATGCATCAGTTGGTTTGAGTTTTTCTAGGGTTTCAATGGTGGTGAAGATAGGTTCTCCATGGTGTTTAAATGGTGTGATTTGATCACTTCTATGGGGTTTCTGTTGTGCTTGTTAAGGTTTCTGAAAGCTTTGAGGAAATCCGTAGAATCTTGAGAGAAAGAGGTGAAATTTGGAACATTTACCCCAGGCAATGTTTTGTTTTGGGAAATGGAGGACATGAACTACTGTTTCAAGAATGTTTCATGCATAGTGTGGTTGAAATGAGGAATAGGTTTTTATTGCTGTGAGTTCATAACTGAGAAATCAATCAATACAATTCGAATTTGAGCTATTGGGGCTTTCTAACCAACCAATGATGGATAACACAGTGATGGGGTCTGGTCTTTTATCAGGCCCATCACCTAGTATTTTAGGGCTTGATGCCTCAATTCACAGACACCAGCAACACCATCTCACTCACCAACAACTTCCCCATCAGCACCACATGCATGCAATGGCTGCCTTATCCGTAGACCACCATAACAACACAGGCATGGAGGGCGACCAGTCCTTTTCGATTTTAGAGCCAAAAAACCCCTCAAAAAATTTGGGAATTGGCACCAGAGTAAAGAATACTAGTAACACCAGTGATGAAGATGAACCTAGTTACAATGAAGATGGCACCGATGGCCAATTTATTGGAGCCAAGGGCAAGAAGGGATCTCCATGGCAACGAATGAAATGGAGTGATCATATGGTTAGGCTCTTGATTACCGTGGTTTCTTATGTTGGGGAAGATGGGACCCCTGATGGAGAGAGTGGGCACAAGAGAAAGGGTGGGATTTTGCAGAAGAAGGGTAAATGGAAGACTGTTTCAAAGATAATGATGGAAAAAGGCTGTTCTGTTTCGCCCCAACAATGCGAGGACAAGTTTAACGATCTTAACAAGAGGTATAAGAGGCTGAATGATATATTAGGGAGAGGGACCACTTGTAGGGTGGTTGAGAATCCCTCTCTCTTGGACTCCATGAACCATCTCTCTGCAAAAACCAAGGATGATGTGAGGAAGATCTTGAGTTCCAAGCACTTGTTTTACAAGGAGATGTGTGCATACCATAATGGCCAGAGGATCTCCAATGTCCATGAAGTCCATCCATTGATGTTGTGCAAAAGCAGAGAGACTCAAGATGGGTGTGATTTCGTCAAGGATGATAATGGGTTTGGGGGTGATGAGGATGAGGATGAGGAGAATGACGATGATGAGTTAGATAATGATGACGACGACGATGATGATGGTGATGATGATGATGGCAATGTCGGTGATGGTGATGGAGAAAGAATGGTCAGTTTGGGGAAGAGAAAGAAGGTCAATGAAAATGAGGGTTGTTTTTGGCCTCAAGGGATAGTTTCAGAATGTGGGAAAACTGGGGTTGCTGAGAACTTTGGGGTAGAGATGGCAGGGATGTTGCCTGATAATGCAAAGTCACCATGGGAGCAAAGGGAGTTGATCAAGAGCAGAGTCTTGCAACTTCAAGAACAGAGAGTTGGGTTACAAGCTCAAGCATTCGAGTTAGAGAAGCGCCGGTTTAGGTGGCAGAAATTCTGCAGTAAAAAGGATAGGGAATTAGAGAGGTTGAAGCTAGAGAACGAGAGGATGAGACTTGATAATGAAAGGATGTCCCTTCAAATGAGGCAGAAGGAGCTAGATATGGAATAGAAGAAATATCCACATAACTGATTAGGCCTGCTTGTTTCTCGCTGGCTAGGTTTGATGTAAGGGATCTCAGGATTTAGTAGTTGTTATGGATGGTACTTTTAGATCTAACACTCTTTTGGGTTTTGAAGTATTGAGATGTTCTTAATTTCGTTTTGTCCAGCTTGATGCTCCAAGACTTTGGTGGACCCACTGAAAATTCAGGAGAGGTAAACTGTTTTGATATCTTCATTGGGGTTTGACAGTTTTGTGCTGTACAGTTGTGGAGATGAAAGGAATTTGCTTTTGACTTGTACATCTTTCTTTGTCATGTGACTTTACAATGTTACTGTGGTCCACTTTCTTTAGTTCATACTCCATAGTCTTTGTAACTTGCTTGGCAATTGTGAGAACTTAAAACATTATAATCAAAGAAATGGATCTCACCCATGTGGGCTGATGATGTCAAAGAGAGGCATCCGTCTAAGCTATTGCATTTTCAAGATTTATGCAAATTTTGGGTAACAAACTCCCCCCTTTTCTGTTGAAACTTGGATCTCTTTTGTTTTTTGTTTCCTCTCTGTGATTTGGTAATGTTCTCTAGGATTTCACTATATTCGGCATCTGAATTATTATTGTTGGACTTAATTCTCAGCAATAATATCATACATGCCAAACATCCCTTCGTGTAATACTTTTAAGTCTTGGTTTCTATCTTTTCAATTGGATTTAATCTATATCTACCACAATAGAATACATTCACATGTACATGTTGTGTATGGCATTGCTGAAGGGGTATCTTTTTATTTTGCTTGCTGACATCGGAAAGAAAATTGTATCACTTTAAAAGCTATTATGAACTGTTTCCTTGGCGACTAGCAACCTGAGGGAAATTACAAATTGTTTAGGTGAATTGTCTCCTGGGCATCACAATGGATCGACAGGCTCAAGTGCTACGAACCTTGATAGATTTATCCCTGTATGGGAAATGTGGCACATATTTAATCGCAAACTTACAGGCATTTGGGTCGTCTGGCAGTTCCTTAATTGTAGGGTGTAACCCTTTTCTCGGATACACAAGCCAAAACCAGTAGAGTTGTTTCTACAACTATCAAACCACAAAACAATCCTCATTTATCATAGAAAAAAGGGATAAAATTATCATCCTCGACTTTGTCCCCTACAGCCCAACTATTCTCGCAGGGCCAGAAATCCATATGCCAAACAGTTAAAACACCCAATACCAGGTTTAAGCCACTCCTCATTAAGCTCATATGGCCTTTAAGTCTTATTCCTCCATATGGCGTATAACTCAGTCAATCATCTGTCACATGCTGATGCGCCTGTAGAGCCATCATGCTCCCCTAAAGCCATTGTATATCTCTATATTGGTGGAATTAGTTTAGTTGGGGTCTTGCTCACCTTAGAAGCGGCACTTTTTAACATGAACTAGCTTGAATAAAGTTGGGTCCTTTAGGGGATGAGATGGTGAATCAACACTATGTTAGTCTAGTCATTCTGAATTCTTTGTTGCCAATGCTCATACTTTTTTTGGAGGGTTGAGGTTAGTAAAGGAAAGGTGTTCATCATGGAAGTGCTTCCTTCCTGTTGTTCGTGGAACTGGGAGAGGGGCATCCTTTTCATGGCATTTAGCTGACCCAAGTCCCTCATGATATCAAGCTGTTGGGTCCTCCCTCCCAACAGGACTAACAAAAGGAACTCGGTTGCTTCCTTTGTAACCTTGGCCCAGCAGGTGTAGGAGACTTCTTTAGAAACAGTTCAGGCCATTTCTTGCTTTGTTTTTAGGGACTGATTGGCATGGGTAATTCCTGGATAGCAGAGGAGCAAGCTCTATTGCAGGGCCTGCGACTTTCCGATATACTTCCTTGGGGTCTCTATCTCCTTCCTTGGGGTTTCTATCTCCTTGTTGGAGAGTCCGAGAATTTGATCGCTTGGTCCTCAAAAGGCTTCCCTGTGTCCATGGAGACCGAAATCCATCTTCGACCCAGTCAGTGATACTATTAGGCCTTTCAAGTTGCCTTCAAGCACTCTTGGAGAAAACATGCAGCTATGGAAACAACGGATGCAATAGTGAAAGAAATTGCCCTTGCCAAACCTTTCGCGTATAATCCCCCTTAGTGCCCGCCTCACCCCACCCCACCCCACCCCACTCCCTGCCTCACCTTTTTCCCCTACTTGCAGTTTTCTAGTGTATAAACAGTCCGGGTTACATTTTCGTAAAGAACCCTTCCACCTGGGCCTTTTACATCTTTTAGACTTCTACAAATAATACAACATAGTCAATTTCGTCAATTATTCCTGGGTAAACTGACACACTAAATGAATTAAGTAGGAAATGCTGAAAACAAACTCAAATGTAGAAAATCCATCAAATAATTTAATGGGTTGCAGAAACTCAGACATCTTACCTATTAAGGTAGTCTCTGTCAGTCTGTTCTCTTTTGCATAGGTGGGAAATTGTGGAAGATACCAACTCCTGCTTTTTCTCTTTATTGGTAAGTATAAATGCATTGATCAATGAAAATACGCCCCCCCCCCCCCCCAACACACACACACACACAAAAAAAAAAATGTGTACCCTAATATTATGGTGGTTGGAATTCCCAATTTTTAAAGCCAATATTCTTGCACTAATATTTACTAATTTATGGGCCATTTAATTTCACTTCCCTATTGTCATGGCCCACACTAATCACTTAAATTAGGATAGCAGTCGAGGCTTTCTGCATGGACATGGAGTAGAAGTGGTCACTATGTTCCTTCTGCCTTTGCAGCCTCTTTTCCTGTATACACAGATAAAGAAGAGCTGATGAAATATGAAGCCGTGGAGAGGCTTGAAGATTTAGGTTTTTTGAGTGAGTTTATCAGGAACTTGAGATCCTTTTTATGAAATGGTTCTCTACACTAACAGTTGTAGTGTAAATCGTTATCTTCTCTGATATTTAACACTAGTGTGGCATGAATCTCTGCAAATCGTATTGGTATCAGACAAGTATAGGTTTGGGCCCTGACTGGGCCTGAGTCTCTACAGGGCCGGCCTTGGCCCGATGACTCAATCCTAACCGGGACCGTAGGGACCCTGGCCTGAGCTGGGCCGGACTTGTAAACGACCCATGATACAAAATGCCTATGTTGTGTAATAAGAGTGTGTGTGTGTGAATCACTAGAATATTTCATTTCATGAGCATAATCTAAAAGATCAAATTATTAAAATATGTAAATTATTAAATTATCATAAATAGAACTAAGCGATTTAAATTTGCAATTACAAATTAATATTAGAATTAAGCAATTTCACTCATCAATGAAACTAGATAATTAGTAAGGATAGTGCTTAAAAAAGTGAGAGACCAAAAGCCTTAAATTTTAGTTGACTTCAATTCTAATATCCCCTTCCAAATAGAATTACAAATAGCGACGTTTCAGTTTTAGTAATTGTTGTGATTTCCAATATAATTGTGATTAAAATTTAAATTTAACAATGTTCACAATTAATATATATATGTTTAAAAATTGGGAGCTATTGTTATTCTAAATTAATTTCTAATTAATTTTTAGGTCGATGACATACTTTTATAGTTTTAAAATAGGGAAAATTACAAAAACCCCCATAAAGTATACTATCTATACAACTTATTCCCAGCTAACTTTTTCTCTCACGTTTTTCCCCACGACCATCTTTTTTCGCAAAAACCCCCCAATCCAAAACAAAAGAAAAAAAAGGCTAAACTATCCCCCTCTATCTTCGTGGCTTTTACCCACGACTCTCTCCCTATGCGCTCCGGCAGTCCATTTAAACGCTCCAACAATGAAGACATGTGCTCCGGCAATGCAAGGACTCGCTTCAACAGTACACCTTCTGGAGCCATAGCGCTCCGGCGGTTGAATAGGTCCCTCCGGCAATGAGGACACATGCTCCGGCAGTACAAAGACGCGCTCCGGCGCTACACCTTCTAGTGCCACAGCGTTCCGGCGGTTGAATTGGTCACTCTGGCAATAAAGACAATCACTCCGACGGTACAAATACGCGTTTCGACAAGACACCTCCTAGAGCCACATCGTTCCGGCGGTTGAATTGGTCGCTTCGGCAATACGCTACTTGGGATCGTCAATTGACTTTTTCTTTTTTTTCAAGGAAGGGTATTTTCGTCTAAAAAATAACGACTTTTTACGTTGAATGGTTTTTGCAAAGAAAAGTGATTGTGGGGAAAAAGTGAGAGGAAATGTTAGCGGGGATAAGCGGTAGTATACTTTGGAAAGTTTTTGTAATTTTCCCTTTAAAATAAAATCTATATTAAAATATTTTACCCCACTTTGCATGAAAACATAAGCACACCTCAACCCGTGAGAAAGCATTTCCCAGATTTTATTTTCACATGTGGACGTATTAATCACTATTCATTTTATTATTATATAACATAATATATATTATATAATATTTAATTTATATATTAAGTATTTAATATATAAATTATATTTAAGTAATATTTAATATATAATACAAATAATATCTTACATTAAATAATATATTAATTTATATAATATAATATATAATATATGAGTTAAATATAATATATTATATATAATATGTATAATATATTATATTACTTTATAATATAATATAGCATAAGTATACCCAGAGAATCATTCATAAGTATCTCTTCCCACTATGTGTCTGCGTATTTCGAATAACAACATTACTATGTGTGGATTCAAGTGCACAAAATATTATCAACTTTTTCACACTTAGGAATTAGATTTAAAGTACTCATTCTTCATAAGCACGATAATTCTTCATCATCATAAGCACGATAATTAATGTAACCTAATATACCATCCCATAGAGGTAATGACTCAAGCATGCACGCAGTGGAGAGCATATCTTTATTATACACACTTCTGAGGCATAACTCGTAGCAATAAAAATACCTGTTTGAAACCCCTCTTTATTATACACACTTCTGAGGCATAACTCGTAGCAATAAAAATACCAGTTTGAAACCCCTCTTATTCAACAGATATGCTTATCCGGCATGATCACATCTAGAAGAATAGGGACTTATATGGACAAACTTTAATTCGTTAGTCCTTTTACCAACAATTGTGACAGAAGAATGGCCCATTAAAAGAAAACATCTTCCCCACCATTTTGGTAGGTCTTAAACATGTTCCTATTATCAAAGACATGTTTGGTTGCTCCAGAGTTCACTCACCATTTTAAGGTCATATTCGCCTCGAGATCACGATAAGAAATCTAGCTTCTTTGAACTCATTGGCCTAACCCTATTGCTTCTTTTGAAATCTAACCACGGAGATCGTGACAACTGGTTCTTCTTCAAACAAATTGGCCTGAGCCTATTGCTTCTTTCACAGTCCATAAAATTACCTCCCTCGACCAGATTTGCACAAAAATAGCATATATGTAGTTTCTTTCCTTTGTCCTGAGTTGCTTTAGGCTTTGGTGCTTTGTTTTCTTTCTTCTCATCGATATTGATTCCTTTTTCAATCTTTTAGGTACCCCTTCCAAGAGGGAGGCAATATGTCTATTATCACACCCTCATGGAAGAACTAATCAAATTTTATTAAGTCAAATGCAAGACCATTGGCTAATTCAGAAAATCGTGGACTTGAGCTGGTGCTAATTTCACAGAGATCCTTTGCAATTGGCATGCTGGAATATAAGCCAAACAATGAGCCATTGAGAGCATTGAATGCGGCTTTTATAAATGGAATGTCTACAAGATACTATTTATCTTTTGTACATTGAGGTCACAATCATTTTGGTCCCTTAAATTTCAAAATAGATGGTTGTAAGAGTGTCATTTAGTAGATACAGTTTTAAAAATAATAATTCTCAAACTTCGTGACACAAGCCATCAAATTTGAAATTTAATAAGTGAGAATAATTGTGACATCCATGTACACAAGATAAATGATCTCTTTGTAGACAATCCCTATACGAATATAATCATCTTAGTCTCACTGTTGAATTCGTTCCACAATCTAATTACCGGTGGTCTGGCCACTGGCATTCGGCATCTGTGTTGAGGTTGAGGTAGCACCTTTCATTTTGGCAGAGGATTGCGGCCTCCTTAATAAACAATCTACTTTCAAGGCCTCAATAAGTATTTCTTGGTCTGTAATTTCTTAAAATTTATTCCATCAAAACATTTTTGTCTCACTACATCTTGACTCGTAGCCTTCAAAGAAGTATCAATAGTCATCTCAAGCTTAAATATTCAATACTTTGAAATTCTTGGTTTCCGAATTTCCCTTGAGACGAATTTTGGCCGTCTCCACACTATCCAAATCAAACTTAATCTAAAAGCTGAGTCCACCTGTTAATCTAGTTCAAACTAAGTTCTAAATTTAGACGTATGATGGAGTCAATGATCTACGTCCTAGTCCGGTTTCCACAAGATCCTGACATCAACAAGATCAACGTGATGAAATCTACTCATCAAATCCGATTTCCACAAATTCCGAATATCTAAGAAACTGACAAAATCGCATTCTAAAAGCTTGAAGTAAATTCGGAGCACAAGATTTTTTCACTTTCTTCGACCCTGATATCATGAGATTACAAACCCCTACTAGTTTTTAAGAAGAGTCAATTTTTTGAAAGTGCTGGTAAAAACGGCCGCCATGACATTTTAAATGGGTTTCATGTGGTACTACCATCACGACCCCAAGCCAATTTCGGAACATATATCTCATGATAAACCTTGTACAAGCTTCCATTTTGGATGGATCGGTAACTGTAAATGACTTGCGTACTCCCTAGATGAGGTAAAGAAGATCCAAAATGCCAGAGAGAGACTGAGAAAGGAGTTTATATATATAATCATGAGGCATAGTATGGTGCCGTCGTATGGTCTCCTATACTATATAATACAGGAGACCTTACTACGCCTCATGATTATGTATAGAATTGTGCCCCACATGACCATAAAAGACTCGAGTTATTCTACCATTCTTTTGGGAGATCTGGGAGAGGTATGTCCATAAAATGTGATAGAGATCGTCAAAGAGCAAGATGATAAAAAACACGGTTGCTTTGAATTTTTCTTTTCAGTGGATTTTTTTGGACAAGAGTGAACTCCGTACCCTTGGCAATAATTTCATAAGAACAAAAAGAATATCTATTCGATACTCGATGAGTATCAATACACAATGGGGAGATGGAACAATTATCGCTAAAAAAAAATAACAAATCCTCTCACAAAGTATGTCACCATCATATTTTTTGTGAACTCCGCATCACATTTCTTAACCGCAAGAACCACAGTTATTCTCTATATTGTTTATACAACCGCATGCTAGACTTTCCAGCTCTTTCAAAACCAAATGCGAACAAAAAAACAAAACCAAAATTTCCATTAACTCAAATACATGCAAAAATTCCCAATATTGGCAAACTACAGTTTAAAGGAACCCTCTTAGGCCTTCTAACAGAAAACCAAAAAGAAAAACGAAAGTAAGACTCAAACCACCAAATTTTGCAATACACTAATGCACCCCGTCCCCATCTTTGGCACTTGGCCCAACACAATTCGTGCAGAAGGCGATTCAAGTGCGTCCTCAAGGCCATGGATAGCCGAATCCACAACGAACCTAGTGGCAGTCTCATATGTTATTTTCAAGAAAGGTGAAGTGTTATAGTCGATTCCTTTCCTTGTAAAGGGCCTTAAACCACCTCCTGCTGTCATGAAATCTGATATAAGATCCAAGTGCCGCGAATTCACGGCGATACCATAGGACCCAAAAACACTCCTGATCTCCCTTTTGATGGTAGCTCTTGCAGCCTCGACTCCATAAGTTTTGAGCATTGCGTGTATATCATTGGAGACAAGGTGTTTGATATCAACATCCTCTCTGGTCCACATCAGTAGAAAATTGGTGCCAGCGGTCTGGATTGCGACAGATGATGGGGGCTCCCCTTTATAGTCCTCAACAGGTTGGTAGTCCACAACTGAGCATTGGTCAATGCCAAGCACCGAACGGACATAAGTATCATTTGCCACCTTCTCGGCTGCCTGCACAATGGAAAGGCTCGGCAATGACCCAAAATTTAGAATGGGTATTTACCCCAAAAAACAAGCTGGAAGCGTATTATAAACATGATGCATATGGTATATAATACATGTCCTAGGCATGGTATGTAGGGTGTCTTGTTTATAATGCATGTCCTGTGTCTGGCATAAAATATGCATTTGGGGCACGCATTGTCAATCCTTGGGAGGGGTGGTGAACTGCGACTCTATACGTTATGTGGAGAAAACATTATGTTGCAGCGTAAACAATGCACAACCAGCGCATTCAGTTTTCCAGTTTTAAGAGGTGTCAGCGATAAATTGTAACTCTGAGGATCGATATTTTATCTGATGCATCACTTCATCGCTACCATCCGTTTTGAGAATGGATGGGAGATGTATTAGATGTGTATCATACCCTTGCCCAACAAGAAAAAATACCCCCCCAAAAAAAAAAAAAATCTAAAAGGGCTTTGTATGCAAATGGACTGCTCGGATATATTTTCTTTGTAATTTGGAAACCTAAGAACTACATAATTCTTCATTTTTATCTGAACAGGTACAAACTCAGCTTACAGATACAAAATGAGATAAAAAGAATGTCAATTATCTTTTGGATTAGTTATTTGAGGAATGAAAAAGTACCGAGCAATTTGAGGTTCAAAACGTGGCTGTCTCAAATATGTGCTAAACCCATACTATGGCCATGAAAAACAAATTTTGAAAAAAAAAATGATAGGAGCATTTAAAAGAAAAGAAAGGCTGGGTGATTTTGACTAGGAAAAAATTCTCGTGGAAAACAGGCTTTTTCTCTTCTTCTTTTTTTCTTTTTTTTTTTCCATCAATTATATGGAGGACAGAAAAGCAAATTTAGATCACCAACCAGGCCAATTTTTTGGTTAATTTTATAAATTCTCAAATTTAGTAGGAGCATGATATTTGGTTCAAAATTCTATTGGTTTTCGAAATTAAGGATGTGACAAACTACGCATTTCTCTTTGCATTTTGACTCAGAATGGAAAGCCCAGTCAAATTAAGTTCTGAAATCTGCAAAAGGGAGTTATGAATTATCCAAAAGGAAAAAGAAAAAAATTGCAAATAGTGAAGCCTCTAGCTGAACTATAAAAGACTAGTTAAAAAATAGTACCTGAGAGAGAAGGTAAGGACAGCCCTTTGGAAATATAAATGGAGCCTCTAAGTCTTCTCCAGTGTCCAAAGTGTCAGCCCGTTGCTTTTTGGTCTTTCCACGATCCTTCTTACTCTTTTCCAAAACTGACTGCTTGACATGGTCTTGTTGTTTGGATTTTGACAAAATTTTCCCTGATTTCCTAAATGGTTCCCCACCTTCCATTTCTGATAAACTCTCCATTGCTTCCTCCTCAGTGATGGACCCCAACCCAACATTTTCACTTTTCTCACTGTGGTTGCCATCATCCTCACCTTCATACATGTTACTTTTATCTTCATCGTCACTACTAACTCCATCATCAACATCCGACACTTCAGTTTCCATCACATCATCTTCATAATCAACTTCATCATTCTCCTGATTTTTCCATTTCCTAGCATCTGCCCCATCCTGCTCGTCGTCTGCAACTTCCTCATGATCATCATTATGAATTGGAGTTTCATCATCAGTTGGAGTTTCCCCATCATCAGTGTCCTTAGGGGTGGCTACAGCGTCCTCAGGGCCAGTATTTTGATCCACTTTGGCAATGTCAAGGAAATTTGGCTGGCCCTTAGATTTGTTCTTGAGATACTTTTCTATGACTTTTGATAGTTTCGGGAGAAACTGACTCCTGAAAGCTTTCACACAGTCAGCCCTAGTTATGTCTGAGTGTTCAGGGAACAACTCCGGGGGATACAAACTAACTCGTAGTTTATAAACAGTACATGCCTCCCCATTCTTAACACTGAATGGTACAACATGGACCTGCATACTCTCAATGACATCTGCAAATTTGATCCTCGACAGTTTAGCAGCAAGCCGTTCTGCATCATCCCTGCACCAAAAAATGAAAGGTAACTACTAACAATCGCTCTTAAAATGGGTTGTGCATGTGTGTGTGAGTGAGAGAGAGAGAGATCTAATGCAATCAAGTACATATATAGGAAGTGTATACAATGAGACCAGTTCCCTTTTATACAAGGAGGTCACAATTACTTACAACCATCCGATGTGAAATCTGATAGCTTGGGTGTGTCACAAAGTTCGAAAAAGTTTCTTTTGAAGTTTAAGTTTGGCCAATGGAATAAATTCAGCCATCAAATTTCACATCCAATGGTCAAGATCAATTGTGACCACCTTGTACAAAAGAAAATGGTTTCATTGTATACTTTTCCATATATATATATATACATAGGAAAACTTTTAAAAACGCCTATAAGCGAAATTGAATCGTGTTTCGCCCCACCATGAACATGCTATGTCCGTTGCGGTTTTGCCTTAAAAACCGCCACGGATCTACGGAACCATGGCAGTTTCTTGTGTTTTTTTGCATGAAAAAATACAGCCACGGATATGCTATGTCCGTTGCGGTACCGCAACGGACATAGTAGGTCCATTGCGGCATTTTAATCCATGCCATCCAAAAAAATCGGACAGTGCCAAACCTATGGGCGAAAACACTGTTCATTTTCGCCCATAAACGTTGCGTACTGGTTTCCGAAAAAATTTTAAAAATGCCTATAGGTGAAATTGAATAGTATTTCGCCCCGATACGGACATATTATGTCCGTTGCGGTTTTGCCTCAAAGACCGCCATGGATCTACAGGAACCATGGCGGTTTCCCGTGTTTTTTTACATGAAAAAATACCGCCACGGACCTGCTATGTCCGTTGTGGTATCGCAACGGACATAGTAGGTCCGTTGCGGTCTTGTAATCCACGCCGTCTAAAAAACTCGGATGACGCCGAGCCTATGGGCGAAAACACTGTTCATTTTTGCCCATAGGCATTGCGTAGTGGCTTCCATATATATATAGGCATTGTCTACAAAGAGACCATTTATCTTTTGAACATAGAGGTCACAATCGTCCCCACTCATTAGATGTCAAATCAGATGGCTTGGAATGAGTCACAAAGTCCAAGAATTTTTCTCTTGGAACCTTGTGTCTATCGAATGA